GGCAACAGGCCCGGAAGTGGACTAGAAGCACTTCCAGTCCACTTCTGGGTCCGCTGGGGAGTGTGCTGGGGGGCCCCCCTGAGCTCCCCCGGCTTGATGACTGGTGCCTCCTGGGTCTGGGGGGACACCTGGGGTCCTCCTGTGGGTGATCACTGAGCCAGGGGGGAATGGGGGAGCACCCAGTGTGCTCCCCAGGGGCCCCGGAAGTGGACCGGAAGTACTTTCGGGCGTCCCCTGTGCTCCTGTGGGATGCTCCATTCGCCTCAGCATCGCAGCGTTCATGAGCCATGCCTGGTACCTTGAGGTATGTAAAAAAAAACATTTAAAGCTGTGTCTATGGCTGAATTGCTAATTCTCCAAATCAGCATCGAATCTTCAGATTTGGATTTGGGTGAATCGAATCGGGGACAGTGATCAAATCACTGTCCCTGATTCGGGATGAATCCGAATTGAAAAAGGCCCGTTTCGCAAACCCCTAATAATCACTTCCCTTGCCCTGCTGGCAACACTCCTACCACTGCAGCACAGTATGCCGTTAGCCTTCTTGGCAACAAGGGCACACTGTTGGCTCATATTCAGTTTACTGTCTGTTGTAAACCGCAGGTCCTTTTCTGCAGAGCTGCTACCCAGCCAGCCAGTCATCAGCCTGTATCAATGCATGGGATTGTTCTGTCCTAAGTACAGAACTTTGCACTTGTGCCTGTTGAACCTCATGAGATTTCTTTTGGCCCAATCCAATTTGTCTAGGTCACTGAATCCTAGCCCTACCCTGGGCATAACATGGAGTGACAACATCTCCAAATTCACTGTCCTGGAATGGGCCAAGATACCCACTGGGCACATGTACACATTCGTTAATGCATCGTAATTACAGGTACTAAACGAAATGTGTCGTATTGGCACTACTGTGCATTAGCGCTGACGCATGCTTTTTTTTTGAGGCTAATGCACAATAGACTAATTCTACTGCACATTAGCTCATTAGCATGGGTTTTGCCCACCATGCTAATATGAAGTAGAATTAGTCTACTGTGCCTTTAGTGTCTCGTGTAGATACGCCCAGTATGTTCATGCTCCTGAGACAGAGATGCCTCGGTTGGTTAGGACATGTGAATCGTATGAGTGATGGCTGAATCCCCAAGGACATACTCTATGGTGAGCTGGCCACTGGCAAATGTCAACTTGGACAGCCCAAACTCTGTTTTGCTGATGTCTGCAAGAAAACCCTTTGTGAGTTGTGTATCGATGGCCAACATTGGGAATCAGCTGCTTTGGACCACTGCGAGTGGAAAGCCACTGTGAAGCAGGGCGTACATTGCTTTGAGATGGAGAGGGTCAGTGATGAGATAGAGAAAAGGCATCAGAGGCAGGCAAGAGAAGATGGTATTTGGCATACCGGTGCAAGCTCAACCGAGTTTGTATGTGCAACTTGTCATGCATCAAACTCCACAGCCACTCAAGAAGCTGTGGTGGTACCTGGTAACCCACAGATATCTCCTGGCCTTGTGCTCCCTTCCAACCCCTGGGCTAGTACCCAGGGGGAGCCTAGAGCTCCCCCTGGCTGTAGTAGGGGGCCAGTGCAGGGCCAGCGGTGGTGGGAGCAGATTGCTGCCATAAGCAACAAATCTGCTCCCGAGTCCCTGAATGTGTAGATGCATGCCTGGGAGAGTACTCTAAAGTAATTTACTCTAGAATAAACTGCTCCCATATTATTTTCATGTGTAGACATGCTCACTGTGCAGTAAATTACCGTGCAGTCAACCTGCCCTGGGCAGGCAATTTACACATGTGGCCATTTGGGAGCAGATTTGCTGCTTCTGGCAGTAGCCTGCTCCCAACCTTGCACCATCTCTCTGCAGCAACCAGGGGAAGCTGGAGGCTCTGGCCACAGCTGCCTGCAGCCAGGGGCCCTCTTTAAAACAAGCCCTGTGCACTGCTCCTTGGCCACCTGCGTTTTTGGTGTAGAGCAGGCTGCAATGTGCAGGCACAGCCCTCTACAGCTCTGTCGCCAGAGCCTGTGGCCATTGCATGATGGCTGCTCCACCCCCAGGTTCCAGGAGTGATGACCCATGCCCCAGGCTCCTGCTTGCCACTCTGCTCACCGTGCTTCACCACTACAGCAACCGCTGCCTGGCCTTGGTCAGTCTTGGCCCTTCCTGCCCCCTTGTGCTATGCAGCCATATAGCCAGACTCACCACAGTGTCTGCGACCCCCTGTCACCTCACTGACACCCCCAGTCCCTGGGCTGCCACCTGAACCCCAGCAGGGATGCTGATAAGGCGCACATGGGTGCTGCCATCAGTGCTGTCCATGAGCTCCTGGGGCTCCAACCCAAATGCCTGTGGGCCCACCTAACCAGCCAGGACTTGTGCCTGCACCTCATCCTGAGCACCTTTGATGAAGAGCAGTGGCTGGAGTCCTTCTGGATGACCTGGGTCACCTTCCAGGAGCTTCTTGATTAGATACACCCACACCTAGAGTGGCAGGCCACTACCATGCAGCTGCCCTTCCCTATGGAGAGCCAGCTGGCCATTGCTGTGCTCAATTGTGCTCATTGCTGTGCTCAAGCTGGCCATGCCCAGCTGCCTGCGCTATGTTGGCCGCCTCTTCAGTGTGGGCCCAAGGGGCCCTCCCCTGGTGATGTCTTGTCGCTGCTACCAGGCCACCGCAAAGTTCTCCAGCAAGTCACTTGTGTTGGAGAACATGGCAAGGCTTTGCCCAGGATCTTGGGTCTTGAGGATGCAGTCTAGCTGCTGCATAGAAGGCACGGTCCTGTGGTCTGCCTCCAACTACCAGTTGTGGTTGGTGACATTGACACATTGCGCCCTCAGGGCTTTGACCTTTATGTAGCACTGGTGCACTGACTGGTCATGTCCGTGTTCCTACATGTGACCTGCTAGGCCCTCATAGATGTGGGTGTTGGAGTGCCCGCTCCAGGAAAAGTGGCTCTGGACTGTAGCCTCACCCCACAATGCTAAGAGGTCTGCAGTCATCCATGGAGCAGTTATGCCCCCGGGAGGTGGTATGTGGCATCACAGACAATGCCAGTGTGGCACCCTTGATGGTCCTCAGGAGCTGTGGGTGAGAGTCCAGGTGTGCCAGGCCTGGGCACATGCCTGCATTGCACAGGGCAGGGGCACAGCACAGGACAGGTAGGCAGGCAGTGGGGCTGGGCCAGGGGCCAGTACCAGGGTCTAGCCAGGGTGCTGCAGCTGGCCTGGGGCCTCTTTTGCTGGACCTGGTGGCCAGGGGCAGGTAGCAGGTGGCACTGGTCGCTGGGGTCACTGCAGTGTTTAAAGTTCAGGCTGGGGCAGGCAAAGAGCCGTCCCCCAGCTGTGGGGTTGGAGAAACTCTAAGCCCCATGGCTCTGGGGCTAGGCTGAGAGTGGCCCCTGGTGGTGGGGCTAACTGGGAGCAAATTTGCTCCCGGTTGGCATCTACATGTGCACTACTGCACAGTAACTACGGCACAGTTAATTTGCTACTTGCAAATGCAGGTAGCAAATTAACTGTGCAGTAGATTCATTTACTGTGCAGTAAGCACGTGCACGTGTAGACAGTGATGCTTTACTGCACAGTCAATTAGTCAACTGCATGGTAAAGCATTTTGTGTAGATGCACTGTTAGCAAGTAAAAACCTAGGATTCCGGACTAGCCCAGGGATTGACACAACACCTTGTTCGATGAGTGACAGAAAGGCTTTATTTACTACAAGTATTTCAAATCAAGTCAAGTGAGCCCAAACCAAATCGAAGTCCAGTAATTACCTATAAGGTGATGATTTCTCACCAAACAGGCGATGAAGAGGCGGTCTGTTTCTCTTCAACTTCTCGAGTAAGTTGGGTGCATTAGCAACTGGTGTCAGAGAGATTTCTCACTCTTGAACTGTGTGCTGTTTGCTGTTTTGCTGCCTTTTTATACCCTTAGTTTAGCATCTTCAAAGCATTCTTTTAGTTGTGTAAATCAAGAGAGAGTCCCAAGCAGCAATTGACAGGAAAAACCTGCTCATTACTGGTTATCAGAAATTTTTAATTTGAATGAGTTACCTTCTTTGGTAGCAAGAGGTTATCCAGTTTGAAACATATCAAGAAACTGTTTAACAGCCAGGAAAAACATACTAAATCAGGAGGAGACATCTATCACATATGGAGAATGTCTCTTCCTGCACATAAACATATGTTAGTCGCAAAAGACATTTTTACTATACTAATTAATCAATGATAGACATTTCATATGGTTACACACCAGACAACTAAGAGTCTGCTTGAAATCATTCGGAATATGGCAAGATAAGCTGGAAGAGATACTTGATTATTCCTTCTTAGATGGCCTAGCCATGACCTCGCATCCTCTTGCAATATGCAGTTAGCGTTATTATTCTGCATTTTAACTTTTGTGAGTAGGCCCAAGCTTAGCATAAGTTTCAGAGTCATCAGCACCCACTGTATGTCTACACAGCACTATGAAGTGTGATTGTATCCTGGGTAGGTATCTTTGCTGGCTTTCATCTAGCCAGCTACAAGTGACAATACCAGTGAAGACAGTGGCACTGGTCTCAATATAGAATAGCAACCCCATTTTGTACCCAGGGCTTTATATTCATGCCCCTGTGTCATCACTGCTAATTTTATTGTGTTACCTTGATTAAGATTAGCATTGATACACTTATGTGTACTGGAGTCACATCATTAATTTCAAGCTAGACATATCCCTTGATTTCAGTGAGATGTAAGCACGTGCACTCAATGCCCTTCCTGAATGGAGATGTTTTCTTGGTTCATGCCCTTGAACTGGAAATGTCACAGGATCAGGTCTTTTTCATGAAATATGAAGTACCCTGATACCCATCATGAAATTTCAGCCTTGCTGCTTCTGGGCCAGGTTGGCTCTGTGGGATGCTCGTTTGATTTCTTATTGTTCAGCACCCTTTGTGAAGTTGGTTCCCCACTAAGTTGGGTGCCCAAACCTAATGAGTCTGTTCTTGGGGTTGTCTTTTGCCAGAGAAAGATGTGAAGGATATATCCATTCCACCTGGCGAGTCATTCACATACAGCTGGAAAGTGACAATGGAGGATGGACCAGCCAGCTCAGACCCTCTCTGCCTCACCCGTTTCTACTACAGCTCCATCAACCCAGAACGCGATATAGCCTCGGGGCTGATTGGGCCTCTTCTGATCTGCTTTAAAAAAACAATGGATCAAAGAGGCAATCAGGTGGGTCCTTTCCTTTCAGTCTAACCTCTGTCATTATAAAGGGAGGGTTTCAAGTAATTTCTGACATGAGCTGTAACCAAAGGACACAGGACATTTGTTACCTCCTGTCCTCTGCATAAATATTCTGTTTTTCAGGACAAAATATGTGTGGTTCAACATTGTGACTTTGTTTCTAAGGGGATGGGTTTTAATGTGAGCATGGGGTAGCTTCAATCTGGGACACACACAGCCTGGCAAGGCCTGACTTGCTCTGGATTCTGTAATCTCAGCCTAAGCACATTCTTCAGACCTACTTTGTAGAACACTTGCTTACTAGGGCTGTGCGAAGCTTCAGGTGCTGATTCGATTCAGAAGAGATTCAGCCCAATTCAGCGGCCGAATCTCTGAATCTAAATCGAATCAGGAGACCAATAAAAGGTTCTGAATCAATTTGACGCCTCTGAATCAATTTGGAAAAGATTTGGAGAAAGATTCAGCGATTCGGGCAGTCCCCACTTGCTGCCGCAGGGAGCTGGACCCAGACTCCATGCCAGTAAGTAGGGGGTGGGGGCGGGGGGGCTGGAGGAGTGGGTAGGGGACCATGGGAGGACTCCTACCAGGCCCCATCCCCTGCTTGCTCCCCCAGCCCCCCTGAACGCCTCCCGACCTCTGCCTGCTCTCCCAGTCCCGTCAATGGCTGCCCCGCCTGGCCCCAATGTCCTGGTGCTTTAAAAATAAAAAATAAAAAAAGCCCCATGCTCACTGGCTGCTGCAGTGGCTGTTGGGGCGCCTGGGGGCTCATGGTAGAACCCCCCCACCCCCCACTCAGCACGGGGTAGTGGGGGGCAGCACGGCTCGCCCTCCCTCCTGGCAGATGAGGCTTGTTTAATTCAGAGATTTGACCGATTCAGCAGTGGCTGAATCTCTGAATCAGATTCAGCCGGATTGATTTGGGACAGTGATTTGAATCACCAAATCGAATCACCGTCCCCAGAATCGGCCGAATCCAAATCCAAAGCAAATACTAGCTGCTTCGCACAGGCCTATTGCCTACCTATCATGAAGTTCTTGGTGTGAGTTTGACCAAACACACACACACACACACACAGTCAAACCATGACCTTTGGCCCTCTCTCTCTAACCTAACCAGAACCATCCTAGGCTATGAACAGGCTCCTTTGTCATTTCCAGATGTTGTCAGATGAGGCAAATTTTGTGCTGTTTTCTGTTATTGATGAAAACCGGAGCTGGTACCTGGCAGAGAACATACAGCACTTCTGCACAGATGCAGCCCATGTGAATACTCAGGATCCTGAATTCTACGCTTCGAATGTTATGCACAGTGAGTAACCAGGGATGGAAGATATATGTGGAGGACAGAGGAAGAAGATAGGATTGGCCAGATATTGGAACAGAGGTTCAAGTGGGTTGTCATATGTCCTGATCTGGGGGTCTTTTAGGAGAAATTTCTTGGAGTCCCAAAAAGAGCTGTCAATCTCTCTTGTGATATGGGCTCTTCTACAAGAAGAATGTTAACCAGAGGCGACTGGTAGGGGGAGCACAGGGGTGCACGTGCCCCCCTCAACGGGGCTGGTGTCCCCCCTGACGGCCAACACTAATGGTGTCGGCAGGGCTGGTGACCCCCTTGACAGGGCTGCTGCTGTTGGTGTTTTCTGAGGGTGCCCCCCCCAGATTCAGGAGGTAACAGTCACTCATGATGTTAACAAGATCTTGCTGCTTGTAGCATCCATTGATTTGAAGTCTTGTTTGTTCTGTCATGCCAGCTAATTAAAGTTTAGCTACTATATAAGACTAAGTCTTCTGTGTAACATTTTATACCCTATGTCTCTTACAGCTATTAATGGTTATGTCTTTGACAACCTACACCTCAGCCTTTGCCTGAACCAAGTAGTATACTGGTATGTCTTAAGTGTTGGTGCCCAGACAGACTTCCTCTCTGTTTTCTTCTCTGGGAACACCTTCACACGTAACATGGTCCACGAAGACACTCTCACCCTTTTCCCATTTTCTGGGGAAACTATCATCATGGACTTGGAAAAGAAAGGTTAGTAAGTATAGGTATTTCATAAGTTAATGTGTGTAGCTGGTATATATGGTACATCTTAGAAGACTCAGGTCTAGGGATCAACTAGGAAAATAACTATCAGGTTTTTTAAGAGATTGACGTTAATTTGCCAACTCTTAGCTGACAGCACTTTTCTGCTGGCTCCAGATAAGCTCCTCTTCGGACCACAGCTACCCCAGGAGGACTCAGCTGACATCAACAGAACAAACTTTCAGTGTCTGGCTGCATTACACACGAGTTGACCATGCCTGAATAATGCTGTGAAGAATTGTTCTAGCTAGCTGGGTGGTTAGTACAGAGGGAGGGCATGCCTGTCCCAACTTCTTTAAGTCAACCTCAGTGTACATACCAGTGGTTCTTGGCATCCTTCCATTTCCTCCCACAGACTTTCTTCTTGTGTGCACCTTTTTTCTTGGCCAATCTAAATCTCCCATAACTTTCAACAACTTGCCATTGTTACAGCCTTGAATTGCAACCATAGAATATTCTGTTCCTATAAAATCCCATGTCTGGTTGGTTATGATTTCAAACCTCTTAAGACTAGTTTGGATCCAGTAAATACAGTTACTACCTGATGGGCATCTGGGGCCCTTTACAAAATAACTGCACCCCTTGTGTCTAGTTCCCACAGGCAAAAAAATAGCTGCTCTCATCACTGGACATTTTAGTGGTATTCCCAAACAGGGGCAAATGATAAGGCCCCAGTCTACCCCCCAGCCCACCCCAACCTATGATTGGCTGAGGTGCCCTAGCAGTTCCACCCTTGCCATTGATTGGTTGTGAGGGCTGTCTGTCATATGGCCCCACCCCTCACCACCGATTGGTGGAGAGGGGTGGGACTGTGTGGCAGGCAGCCCTCTCAGCCAATCGGACCTCTTTGGGGAGCCAGCATTTTATTTTCAGTAAGTTTTTTTTTTCAGTAGGCCTGCCAACATCACAGACAAAGTTACCAAGTCCACTTATAATAAGCGGAATTGGGCTTGTTTTTTAAAAAGTTGCTTTAATTTTTTGAGTCACAGGTTGTGGTTTTTTGGGCTTGTTTTATTTGAAGGTCGCTTATTTGGGGCTTTTTTGTAATAGGCAACTTAAACAAAAAAAGTTATAGTTTAAAATGGTTGTAGGAGTGATTTTGGTGCCTGACTGGTGTCGATGTATATTGGGGGGGCAAAATGGCAGATCTGGCTGGCAGCTGGACTTCATTTCCCAGCAGCCCCTGCTCTCACAGCTGGGGCTGATTTTCATGGAGACCCCAGCAGCAGCCCCCCTATGATAGTGTGAGGCTGGGGTTTCCATGGAGACCAGCCCCAGCAGTGCTGGCAGGGCAGGGCAGGGTGGGGCTCTGGGGCCGGGCTGGGATCTTGCAGCGGTGACAGTGTGGTCCAGAACTTCTTGCGCTTGTTTTGGGCATTTTTTAAAGGCAGTGCCACTTTTTTTCTCTTGAGACTTGGCGACACTGATCACAGAGCCTGCCATTTTTCATGGAGCCTGCCTGATTTCATGTTGTCTGTGAAAATCACGCAATCACAAATTCAGTAAGTCCCTACACATGATAGTGAATGCCATGCTGTGCCTATGGCTTGCTGTTGATATCAAGAAAATCAGTTGTGGAGAGAGGACTGCAGGGCAGGGCACAAAGTAAAAACACAGAATTCAGAAGAGGAGACTGAGCAGAGAAGCTTGGACAATGTCTATTCTCCTGTGAAGGAGTCCAAGGAATCACTGGACACTACTCTGAAGAGCTCTGTCCAGATGCATTAATGGACAAGGGGCTGGAAAAGGCCCCAGAGTCACAGGGAGTCTCCCCATCCAGCCTCACTGGTAGCCTTGGAAACCAAAGGCCTCTGTTGCTCCATGGACTAGGTTAGGCTCAGACAGTGCAAGGTGACTAGATAGCAGCAGGGAGTCAGGAGACTTGACTTCAACCCCTGTGCTATTGTATGTCCTTAGGTACATAAGAACTTTTAGGAGTCAGGGCAGCACGTAGGCTAAATTGCCCCCAGCTGGCCCTGGTTACTGAGTGAGCCTGGCTACTAGAGACCTAACTACTCCCAGATGGCCCCAGTTGTCTGCATGGGGTTGGTGGTCTGCTTCTCTATCTAACCTTGGACTTCTGACTCCTTGCTCTTAGTTTTCTGGTTCCTACCTTTTGATCCCTAGGTTACCATTCCCAGAGTCCTGCCTGTTTGTTCCTCCTTTTTTGTTCCCTAGGTCTTGCTTATTGGCTTCCTGGCTCTATCCTCATTTCTGATTCCCACCTGCTGACTCCTTGTTCCAGACTCCAGCCCAGACCCCTTGTGCTTCCAGACTCCAGCCTATACCCCTGTTCTCTGACAGCTGGCTTCTCACTTATGGCAGTCACCCATGTCCTGGTCCCATACAGCCATGGTTGCCTGCTCTGGACTCCTTGGCTTATGACAATGGTCTGGATCTCTGTCTCGTGTTCTTAACTCCTCCTAGCTTGTGGCTCTAGCCAGGTTGACTGCCTACATCCCAGTTCCTTGTAGACTTTGGCTTATCAAGTAGCCTGTTCCTGATCCCCTGACTCTGACCCTTTCTTCTCTGACATCACATGTTCCTGATGCCCTAAGTCGTGATTCTTTTGGGTCAAGCCTCGACTACCTATATCCCAGTCATACCCTGACAGAAATGTAGACTTGAAGAGGACTCATGGTCCATTGAATCTAGTCCCCTGAATTTGCAGGCAACCACTTACCCAAAGTTTTACAAAATTCCCATTTCAAACCCTTACACGTAACTACAAGGCACAAAACCAGAAACACCGAGCACAGCATGCCATAGGTAACATCAGGGAAGGTGAGGTCCCTGCTAGTGCCCTGACACTGCAATAGCTGGGAAATAGTTTCCTGTTTCTGCCACTTCAGCTTCCCCAATCTTGCTTTCCTACAGTTGTAAAAAGGACAAATAGCACATCTCTTTGCAAGAATGGTGATTCTTTATTAGAAGGCAACAGCTAAATCCAGAATATGATTATTGTCTTTATGTCAAGTCTTGTCATTCAGAATTACCCAGGACAGTAAAACAAATTTAAGTTGTATTTATTGTATTCACTACTTCATGGCTATACTCTGTAAACACCATTGTGGAGACATACCAGGTAAATGTATTCAAGTCATTAGTTATGGTATGCACCATTTAAAGTAATCAAAGACCCCTGTCAGGGTTAATGCTAATACTTCCAGAAATGTCACACTATGTGGAGACATACATATCTTGTTAGTCCAACTTGTTATAGAAATGAGAATGTGATTAGCCTATTGCAGAGGGAAGATAGGATTTGCTGAAGAGGGATTTCCTAACAAGTTACCATAGCAATACCAACACTCCAGATTTCTTGGTGTGTTGGATTAACTCTGTTCTTTCTTCCTTTCCTGAGACAGGTGTATGGATGCTGGGATGTCTGAATCCTGAATTTAGAGACAGAGGAATGAAGGCAAAGTTCACAGTCTCTAATTGTAACCCTGATTCAGATCTATATTACAATGAGGGAGATTATGATGATCAGATAGACGACAATGTCTTTCAACCTAGGGGCTTCTCCAAGAGAAAGAGATGGCATAATAGGCCTTGTCTGAGGAAGCATCAGAATAACAACATTTCTTCTGAAAATGAAACAGAGAAGCTCAGCTACCAGCTAACACCCTGCTTGAGAAAACCTAGCCAGCCCCTCGAATTCAACAGCCTGCAAAGCAGTTGGAGGGATTCCATGGACACCTCTTCCAATGTCACATCAGTATTTTCAGAGAGGAGCCCAGATCAGCACAGCATTTCCATGTTTTCGCTACAAGAGACCAGCTCTGAGCCAGTATCCTATGATTCCTTCCTAGAAGAAGAACAGCTATCAAAAATAGTAATCTCAGATCAAAGATCTGTGGATCCTCTTCTTGAAGGAAACTCTACAAGTATACGTAAAACAAACGATTTTAATAAAAGCTCAGCAACAGCTGGTCCTTATAAAGAAGGAGATACTCTCTTCAGAACACATAGACAAAATCCAGTAGGAGAAATGGTTAAAGAGAACTTGGAGTTACAGAAGTCAGTAGAGAATGTGGCATTCCAACCAACCACACCATTAGCCAAACTGGAAGTGTTTCCAAAAGGGAATGTTAATTTAAGACAGGAATCAGTACGCAGGATGGTCCTTCAAGAATCCATTTCCTTAAGTGCTGCAGATGCTTCTATTCAAAAGAATGGTAACTCACTGCAACTGGATGAATTAGAACATGATTCTGGATTTCAGGAAAGGTCTTTATTAGATAAAGAATTGTCTCTAGAAAATAGCATTAAAGCATTATTAAAATTACACATGTCATCAGATGACACAAAAAGTACTTCCATAATTAATACAAACTCCTCTTCAGAGATTAGCACGTCAGCACCATCAGACAAGTCAACAGATGATACAAGTATTCATGTTATGAAATACTTTAATGTTGGAAAAACATTTCTTAAAAACACTGGTACATCAACACAACTAGATTCTAGTTTAGAAAATTATGCAAGTCCTCAAGAAACAGTTTTGTTGGATCTGTATGAAACTTCTCAAGAAGTGAATGGTTCTGTACCAAAGTTAAATAGCTCAGCACATGATCTCATGCTTCAAGAGAACATATCATCTACAAATGGAAAGGTATTTGTTGAAAAGACTGTAGTATCATCACATTTAAAGAAATATTCAAATGAAAAAGGAATTCAAAGGACACCTGTATTTCATAAGAAAGGTTTTCTTCTTGGTAGAACCAACTTGTCATTAGATGGCATAGCAGATATGAGGCTGATGGAAAATGGATCACTGGATGATAAAACAAGGATTATTACACCACTAGGACAGAATAGATCTACACAAAATCAAAGGCTTTCAAGTATTAAGGACAACGTGTCTGCAGAAAATGGCATGAGGCTAGAATTGAATGAATCTACCAATGATACAAGGCTTCCAGAAACAAAATTTTTGGATAGCAGTGAAATTCTGGACAACAGAAATGTTACTACACAGGAAACTAATGATTTTATATTGGCAGCAAAGTTTCAAGATGCTACAGAAAGCAAGGAACTATCTGAAATAAAAAATGTTGCTTTACACAAAGCAAATATGATGGGCAAAAATATGAGGCTCCCTTTACTGAACAGTGAAGAGACATTTCAGAAACGTGGTAGCATAGCAGAACAATTAGATGGGCCAACAAATGACTCAAGGATCCCAGAAACCAGCTCTTTAAATGAGAACATTTATCCCAAAGGGAATGTTCCTCCACTGGAACTAGAACACTTGATAAATGGCACAGGCCTCTCAGAAGTCAATTCATCTAACACAAAAAATGTAATCCATAAAAGTGATGTAATGGAGCTTGACTCAGATCACTGGACCACTGAAAACCTAGTGAACAAGGCCACTTCTAAGTCCTGCAATCAGTACTCTTTTTTGTGTAGCACTCATAAAAAAAAACAGTCCCTGAGGTCATTTCAGGTTTTGCTGGAAAAGATGCAGATGCAGCAAGAGCTAGACAATGAAGCCAGAGCATTGGAGGGAAGGCAGAGCCCTGACAAAAATATGCAGAGAACCAGAGCTGTGCTTGGAGACACTGGTACTAAAGTGGGCTATGAGCACAGGGGAACCCCCTCCACTGAAAGGTTATCCATAGAAGACACAACAGTGAGAGACCATAGAGCAACTAACACTGATAGCTCCACTGGATATATCAGGGCTGCTTTTGTTTCTCATTCATCAAGCCCTACCCAATCTGATGCCATGCTGTTCTTTACCAGTAGTCATGAACCAAGAACATTAGAGGAACAGTATGGCAATCAAGATAGGAATATAGCTCTCAGAAGAGATAGCACCTTTGTGGACGTAGAAGAGTCAGAGGAAACTGCTATGATTCCTGCAACTTCAAGTGAGAACACTAGCAAAAGAGAAGAGGAGGTGAGAACTGAGTCAGGAACAAGGTCCACTGCATTGGCTAGAGAGCAAAACAGGATGATGAACCCCATCTCACTGCAAGTTGTAGGGCAAAATAGTAGAGATGAGATGTCTGAAGGAAGTGAGATGCAGCACAGAAAGGTCAATGATCAGGAGACCCCTCTGAGTTTGCAGCGCAACCAGAAAAGTCTTATGGATGAAGAGGTGAGCGCTTTCAAGCAGCTTAAATTAAGGGAAGATATGATTATCAGCAAACCGCAGCAGGGACTTGAATCTGACAGTATTAAGGACCATGGATTAGGGAATGAGTCTAGATGGAGTTCAGCAACAAAACATGCTGTAGAAATCCTTGCAAAACAAGCCTCCACAGAAAATAATCTACTGCCCTCTGGAGGTTCAGCTGTAAATGAGACCATTAAAGAGGAACAATGGGAGTCAAAAGACAGCCAGAAAAAAAATCAGGTGTTTAATGGGGAAGAGATCACTTCCCCCTCAGACAGGAAAGTACCAACATTAGAAGTGAAGAAGGAGGCACCAGGGATAGATGGGGCACAGGGGATTGTGGAAAGCACTGGTGAAATAAAGCAGAGAAGCTTGACTGCTAGGTCTGAAAGTCCTGGAGAGATTGCTGGCCTAAACTATATGACCAAGTCTGATACTGCAACATCTCAAAAGGAAAAAGCAGACTATGATGACTACAGCAACAATGAAGAAAATGTAGATTTTGACATCTATGATGAGGAATACCAGGATCAACGCTCCTTCCAAGGCAAAGTCCGGCAGTATTTCATTGCAGCAGTTGAAGTGGTGTGGGAATATGGGAATCGAAGACCTCAGCACTTTCTAAAAGCAAAGTATGTTTTACCAATCACATTTGCCTATCCTATACATTCCTTCTACCCAAATGATTGCTTTTTCCTGTTCAAAGCAGCTTGAATGAATAAGGCAAAATAATGATTAGGTTCCTTCAGTCTACACTGAGCTCACCATGTCATAGATATACAGTCCCAGTGCAGATAGAACTCCTTTAAGCACTGATTCCCTTCCACAGCAATAGATTCTCATTTTTCTCTTATCCCTCAGCCCTTGAGCTTCCCCCCCTGAGCCAAGCAATGCCCTGCAATCTCCTGCCCTGCTTCAGTTTCATCAATGAGTTAAGAACTTCCTTGGCTGTGGACCCTTGATCTCACTGCCCAGCTGTAACTAGCCCTATCAAGTAGCTTGTGCTACTGTTTGCCTTGGCATGATAGGGGTCAGGAGTTGAAGCCCCAGGTAGGCCTCCTACAGAATATGGCAGTATCCTAGGAAAATGAGAACATTGTGCTATTCCTTAGTTAGTCCCCTGCTTGACAGTCCCTCCATACCATTGAGGGCCCAGAATGGAAAATCCTGCATGGAACAGCCTGCATGCCATGTGCTGTAAGGGTGCTGCGGTGATCGTGGGGCCATGGGTTACCATATGTCTAGGTTTTCCCAGACGCGTCCTCTTTCTTGGACCCCTGTGTTACGTCCAGGTGGGTTTTTGAAAACAGAGCAAATATCTGTGTTTTCTGCTGTCCCAGACTGGCTGCTTCAGGCTGGGAGTAGTGGACAAGGTGATTGGCTGTTGGGGGTCACATGCTCCCTGTGTGGGCTCAGGCAAGCTAGTGAGAGAGAGGGGGAGAGAAAGAGAGTAAGCAGCAGGGCAGGGGTGGGTGGGAAGAGGCTGCGGGACACTGGCAGGGCTGGAGGGCAGGGCAGGGGGTCGCAGGTCGGGAGTGAGGGGCATGGGGGATGGGACAGGTGACTGTGGGTTGGGTGTGCAGGGCACTGGCAGCGCCAGGGGGCTGCAGGTCAGGAGTGAGGGGCACCGGCAGGGCTGGGGGGCAGGGGCCTATGGGTTGGGAGTGAGGGCACCAGCAGGGCTGGGAGCCAGGGCAAGGGGCTGCAGTTCAGGAGTAAGGGGCACCAGCAGGGGGGCAGGGCCTGTGGATTAGGAGTGAGGGGCACAGGGGACAGGACAGGTGACTGGGTTGGGTGTGCAGGGCACTGGCGGTGCCAGGGGGCTGCGGCTTGGGAGTGAGGGGCACCAGCAAGGGGTGGGGGGCGGGGTACTGCTGTTTGGGAATGAAGGGCACTGGCAGGGGTCAGTGGGTCCAGAGTGAGGAGCA